GAGCATTCCATATTTTGGAAAAAACTCTTAAACTCCATTAACACTTGGGTTTTGGTCGGACCTTGCTAACTCCAAGGTAGCAGACCTAAAAAGTCATGTTCGTCCTTTGTGGGTGGATACCGTTAGAGGCACGACATTTGCGGTGCTCAAGGCTTTCAAGTAAGAGCCCGTTTTGAGAGGGCGAAGCTCGCTTAAAGGGTATGATTCGTTCTTCCTTTTCTTGTGCTTATTTATTTATGCTTTATGGTTTTATTAATTACGAGTGGTTCCTTGGGTCGGGGTTGTTTCCGCGGTGAGTCGGACTCACCAAACCCCAACAAATATATCTATAATTGCTTGTATTATATCTAATAAACTTTAATTTTTACGTCATATTGATGAGAAAAAAATTAGGAAAAACATAGGCTATAAAGTGGAAACATACTATATTAAAATTATTTTTAAGTTACATAACAAAAAATTGCTACAAACAAGCAAGCAATTGTCCCAAATCATAAAAAAAAAAGCATATCCTCCAATATCCTCATAATCGGAGTCGGATAGGATTTGACTCGGTCTGACTTTGCACATGGTCCAAGTATATTTGGATCTATTTTATCGGATTCGAATTCGAACTATTTTTAACCGGATTTGGATTCGGATTTTTTTTCTTCGAATTGAATAGGATTTTAATCGAACTCGGATGAAATTGTAATTAATTAATACACCATCTATCTATTCTAAAAAAGAAAACTGTTATTTCACCAAATGTCATTGAGCACTTTAATAATTCACCAAATGTCATCAAGGTTTTCAAAATTCACAAAATGTCACCCAATTTTTATTAAATTCATTGGTTGCCATTACTGACTAATAGCCGTTAACTCCGTTATTCATTAGGGTTTAATTATGACACATGTCATGATATGATTGGTCCATTTATCTTAATTTTATAAAATTTAAAAAAAATAAAAAAAAACCCAAAATTTTCCAAACCACCTACCCACCACCGCCAAACCCTAGCCCCTCCCTTTATCTCGCCGGAAAACAGTCGGTCACCCCCTTAACCACCAAAAATTGGCCGGTCGACCCTTTAGTGCCCTAGCTGACCCACCGCCGACCCCCAAAACCACCTACGCTGCCCGGCCTGACCCCAAAAACCACCAACACGAGCTTTAATCAAGCACCCTCTTCTTTCCTCCGTCGCCAAAATCGCCCCTCCTCCTTTTCCCACCCTCGAAATAGTCGTTTTGACGGTGGGAGAAGGGAGGAGGGGCACTTTTACTGGTGGTTTTTGGGGTCGGGGCAGGATGTGTGGGTGGTTTTTGGGGTGGGGGAAGCTCGTGTTGATGGTTTATTGGGTCGGGGCAGTTTGTGTGGGAGGTTTTTGGGGGTCGGCGGTGGGTCAGGTGGGGTGCTAAAGGACCGGCCGGCCAATTGTTGGTGGTAAAGGGGGTGGCCTACCGTTTTCCGACGAGATAAGGGGAGGGTAGGTAGGTGGGAAAATATTGGGGTTTTTTTTAAAAAAAAAAATTGTCTTTTTGTTTTTTTTTTTTTTAAATTTTTATGAATTAAAATTAATGGTCCAATCATATCATGCCATGTATCATGATTAAACCCTAATGACTAACGGAGTTAACTTGTAAACACAAATATTGAGTCTCCGAAATAGTCAAAATAAATGCAACAAATATAATTTTTATTAATATAACAAATTTGAGTACAATCTATAATAAAATCCACTGATTCGATCTCCACCGCTACGTCGTTAGATGACTCGATTTGTTGTAGTCGAAACTGGAATTCCTTGATAGAGGGCCGAAAAGGCTTGATCTCAATTAAGGTTGGTCTTCTAGAATGGAACGACACGTGTCCAGTGCTTGTTCTTCTTCTTCTAGTTCTTGAGATTGGTTTTTAGAGAAGTTTAGAGAGGTTTTTCTGTAGAGAGATTTTTCTCTGGATTTTTTCATGTGTGTGGAATGAGGGAGGAGAGTTTTATTTATAAAGTTCTCCTAAGCTACAGTTTCAAGATGAACACTAAATGAGCCTCATATCCATTTCCACCTCCTTTCATAAATGACCCATTTAAATTAAATCAAATCCATTTTGTTGGACTTTATTATTAATTAAATGAGTTTAACTAAAATAAAAAATACGGGCTAAAGTAACCTATATTAATTATATAGTCAATATATACGAGTCAACCGTTTGACTTTGACCCAAACAATATGTAACAACATCTAATAAAATTTCTGTGCCTACAAATTGCCCCCTCGAGATCGGTCACGGACACGCTTTTAGGAGTGTTTCGGCTCGAAATTTTCTTGACCCGATAACAATTATCGAGTAACCCCATTTTTTTTTTTTTTTTTTTTTTTTTTTTTTTTTTTTTCGGCATCCAAATTTCATTTGCTTTCTATTCTTAATTACTTTCAAGGCTGAAACTATTGATTTAATTACAAACTAACAGTAACATCCTCACTACAAAGTAACCCACCTATCATTCATTCTCTAGAACACCCTTAATTAAACCATAACATCTAAACTCAACGATAACCAGAACTTTAAACCCAGCCTAATTTTTAAGGCATGCTTCATCTTCTTATTGAGATCTCTTTTAATTATCTTGATTTGCTTGACTATGAATCCCAATTACCATCAAAATAGGAACACGGATGACGAAATACAACACTTATCTTATAATTGAGCTATATCTTATGAACATCCAAATTTTTTCATTTTGAATGAACAAAGATTTTGGAATCCAACCCAATAAAAGATAAAATTGTAGGAAAAATACATGTTGAAATCAAGAACAAAGACAAGCAATGTGTTACAATCAATCAAGATCCGACCTCCTTCTGTTGTGCCGTGGTTTGGAACCCACTGCCTTAGAAGCGAAATACGCCACCACCGGTACAGATTTCTTAGTGACGCACGCCCCCCAAGTTTTACACAACGACCTTCGCAATTCGTGTACCCAAACTCGAAGGTTGGAATTGCTCAAGAACTATTCAGATCTCAAAGGGTAGGTTTGTGTTTAGGGTTTTCCTTATTTTATTTTTAACTCCAAAATTAATTGATAAAAATCAAAATAATAATGGACGATCGTATATATATATATATCAACAACGAAGGAAAAACATCAAGTCTGACTTATATAAACATGAAGTATATAAATCAAAAGAAAATAAAAAAGAATCTTTGGTATTAAAGAAAGAAAGAAAGAAAAAAATCAAAGAACCCACACCTCACAAACCGCCTCACACTCGAAAAATCCCGCGGTCGTAGCCCTGAACCCGCGCCCGCAGCCTCTAACCCGCGGGTCTGACCTGTGACTGCCACAACAGGTGTTTGCTACTGCCTGCCCGCAGCCTACACCTGCGCCCGCAACTCACACAAACACCCACAACCGGAGTTTAACTCCTCTCACATAACGAAGTTCCGGTTTTGACACTCGGGGCTCGTAATCTATGTACTTGAGAAAGGTACGAACAAGGTAAGACAAGGCTAAGTACAAAAGATCATGAATTAATCCATTTGAATACATTACTAGTGCTCAACAATCCCCCCTTAATGCATACGAATGCTATAATATGAGACCTAAATAGTAAATAAAAGTCTTAGTACTTAAATGCTAGTATCCGAAGATTTGAACTAACACATTAGTGCACAAGGTTTTCAACACTTCCCTAGTAAGTATCCTAAGATTTAAGCTCCTAGGAGCGAGGAAGGGACCTTGTAAACACATACCATGACTTTAGAGCTTAAGAAACTCCGCAAAATTTGGCTACTCTTTGGAACTAATGAGTACTTCAAGAGAACCATACTTGTTCTCCCTAGAAGAGCGCCACTCTTCGTACTCACGCAGGTGTCGCTGTGTGAACCACATCACACACTCCTGCAAATCCGAGAACTATTTATGCAAATATGTGCAGCTCACAATACTTTGCAAATTTAAGGACTATTCATGCATCGGAGTTTCGACATTAAGAACAATTAAGTTCATCCTCTTTCAATATTTCGGTGCACCTATCATGCTCAGCGAGCCATGGACTAGGCGTAGCATTAAGGGCTAAACCCAACCTCATCTCTTCGGTACCTCTCACATTCCCTACTCAAGTAGTCTCAGAGTTGACAATCCAGGTCACTTAAGACCACCATCACTCTTCACTCTTGATTACCGGCATAGAGGTATTAAGAGCTAGACTCATCATGTTCCTTGAATCAACCTGGTTAACAACCACTCAAAAGAGTCATTAGATTCAAACATATGTAAGTATAGACATTAAGCAACAAATCCAGCTAATATTTCTCAACTAGAAAATATTCAGCAAGTCAGGATTTATTCATACGACACATTAAAAAAAATTGTTTAATCAATACTTACAATAATTCACATCCGTTCAACATAAGGTTTCAAACCCATTCCTGTTAATGACTCAATTACCATTCTCTTGCATAGACCCTTTGTAAAAGGATCAGCTAGGTTCTTCTCTGTCCGGACATAGTCCAAAGAAACAACCCCTTCACAATAAATTGTCTCACTGACTTCTGCCTGACATGGATGTGTCGCTTCTTGCCATTGTAGACACTATTCTTACACTACAACAAAATAAAGCAAAGGTTACACTGAAAAACTATTGCCTAATATCAAAAAAGTGTTGCCTTGTAGCTAAGGCAACACATATGAGGCGTAGTTTATGCCCCCGTTGTCTATTCCTAAGGCAACACATTTTAGTTCAAAGGCAACAATTTTAAAAGCCAAGGTATAATGATATCTAAGGCAACACTTTTACAAAGGCAACAAAAGAAAATTGTTGCAATCTTAGAAAACAATTAAAAAAATGTTTTCTTCTATAATAATATGCATCAAGCTCTTTATCTGTTGTATTAGATAGTAATAATACAATATTGTTGCCAAAAAATCTGAAAGACAACACTTTAAAAATTTTTGTATATGAAATGAAAGAAATATAATGAATAAACGTGTGAACTGAACAATGGAAGAAAAATTAATCTAAATGGAAGCTGAACATCAATATAGATGTAAAATTTTTTATATCATAACGCATGTGAACACATCTATCAAAATCCAAAAACAATATCCAAGTAAATATACTACACAATGTGTCTACCCTAAAAAAGCTAAATAGATTCACAAACTAGTACATTATTAGTACCACTAATTGTTCGTATCTAATTGTATATACAATGGAGGGATTGTAACGTCCAAAGCGGGAAACAAGTCAATTGACTATAGACAATCTAAAGCTCCAATAAATCAACTCTCTTTCTCTGTCTTCAATATATATCTTTCTTCCATGTGCTTTACCTGTAATACCAATCAAATAAAAAAGTTAAAGAATAATATAGTTTTTCAAAATTTAAGATAAATAATTGAAATTCTAAACAAAGAATTAAAACCTTTGGCAGCCTACAATGTCATATGACAGGAATCAGCTTCACCGTAATTGAATAAAAAATGTTAGCTTCACTGTAATGAATCAGAACCACTTTACACTCAGAGCTCAACGTCAAAGAAAAAAAAGGTATCATTCTTACCTCTCCTGGTCCAAGGAATAAAAATCTATGTTCTGCCAAGGTGCCACCAACTAATTTCAGTGCCAAAAGAATTCTTGTTAGGACAATAGATGTAGTCCCCTATGCAGAGAAGAATAGAATTGAAAGAAAAAAAAAAAGGGGGTTAGAGCTGACACAAAGTAAATTATTACATAAAAACGTATCTATCTCATTACATACATGAATATCACCATTGAACTAACACACGATAACTTGTTGAGTATTTTGAGAGCAGCTTGAAGGCATTATGGTTGGTAGTCTTTGAATTTCAGTTATAAATCCAATTAAATTTTAAAATATGAAAGGATACAGATTACTTTAAATAATGGAAATTATAATCATAGACAGTAGTAAGTCTAGTAACAAACCTGTATAACAAGAACTTTTCTCCATAGTTTTGCTTTACTGCACTCATGAACTCCTCAAGAAGCTCATCATATTACTACAAAAAAAAGTTATGTAACCTCAATCTATAATGTAACGAATTTTTCATTACATGTATCAAAGAAAAAAAATTAAAAAAAGCTTTACAACCTTCCAAGTGGCTCTTCTTTGTCATAGACCAATGTAGAACTCATCGTTAAGCATTTTCTCGTTGTAAGTCCTGACACCAGTGGTTATTGGCAAACACTGAAACAAGAGAGGTAGGATGAACCTTCTCAAATTATATATTCAACATAATAAATTCACAAAGGATCTATTTTTCCACAAACATGTTCATTTTTACAACTGTGAAATCACACAAGTTTTACAATAATAATGATCTATTTAGAGCTAGGGCACATCTAACCACCTGACAACCAAGATAACCGAGCCCCAAAATCCGTTTATAATCTGGCACAACTATAACTTGTATGGTTCTCTCAAGCTAATTTCTGAAAACATCAAGAATTCTTCTCAATCACTTCAAGTTTAGAAATGCACCAAAATCAAGCATTTGTTTACAAAAGACACCAGTATTTCCAAATCCACATATTAATTTAAGAAGTAATTAATTTGTAAAAAATGTAGGGAAAATAGAATAAAAATAAAAAAAGAAAAGGCACAGTATTCATTTTAGCAACCCTACCCAACTCAATGCAACAACCTCACATAGGCATCAAGAGAACAATAATAACCTCGTTGCGATAGAACCAAGTTAGCAGACCACAGAAATTTCTAGAAGGCATAACTTTCAGCACACAATTCCAAATTGAGAAATATTTGAGCCTAGATTGGATAACTTTTCAAGATCTATAACTTTTATGAAGGGGCTAGGGGCTAAAAACGACTGTAGGTCCATAATTTTGGGACGGACAGAACTGCAGCTATGGGGCAACTGCAAAGTAACAATAGCAGCAATACAACATGGCAACAACAACATTATTACATGCAGCAATAATTTCAGACAAAATACAGTAGCAATTGAACAGAAAAACTATAGCAGCAATGTTAACACTCAAGCAACAATAATACAGAGTAGACAATAACACTAACTCAGCTTTTTCCACATAAAAGCAATGCTAACACCAAACTCTCACACACAACCTACATTCTTGAACATCTATGTAGAATATGTCTTGATTAAAGAAATTAGTTAATCGCATGCAAATTATTCCATCTAAACATTATTGTACCAAATTGCATCCAACAAAATATTGTATGTGAATTATTTCCATCAATAAACACATGTAATCAAGTGGAGATGTCAATAAAATGGCTACAGATCTTAAGCAACAATTGAATGTACAACAGCTCATATATTAACGAAATAAATGCAATTCTGAAATCTAACATTACTACAGTATCATACAAGCAAATTCAAGTTAAGCAGGATAAATAATGACTATATTATCTGGTCATTAATTTCATAAAGAAGGTGGGCTGAGCTTGTAATCCTTTTTTCTTTGAATTTTGATTGATAGAAATCAATTAATTAATTTCATTCCTAAAGATAACTTACACCAGTGGCTGATCCAGAAAACCAATATTATCAATTCCTAAGGAAAAAAAAATCGAGAAAACCAATATTATCAATTCCTAAAAAATTTAGAAACCCTAACTCTCTAATTTGATAAACTAAATAACAAATCATCAATTTCAAGCAACATCCACACTAACTTGATAGATTAAATAACATAAACAAGTAATTTATGCACAAAATCAGCCCAACAACTCATGTAGAATAACAAATTAAAAGCTTAAAAATCAATAGTTAAGTATGATTACAGAATTAACTTGTCTAGAGTGTGGCTGTGCGGTGGCTAGAGACTGGAGTGCGGTGGCTGGAGACTGGAGTGCGGTGGATGGACGGTGCGGCGGCAGGTTGGCACACAGGTAGCAGCGGTGGCTGGCAGTGGCAGATTACCCATTGAAGAGAGAGAAGCGTTTCTCGCTGCGCTTTTTTGTCTTTTTTTTTTTTTTTTTTTTTTTTCGTTGTTAATTATGAGTAACTGATTCTTAGCGGAAAAACCCAAAAAACAATTCACCATTTTCGCGGTAATTGATTGTCTTTATTTATTTTATTTTATTTTTTTGAGATAAAAGTTCTACAGTAATGTTTTTTTTTTTTAAAGAAAGTTCTAATTTTTATCTCTTAATTATGAATATATGAGGTTTTTTATTTCAACTATTAAAGAAAAAAAAGTGAGTTTTTTATAACTATGTTTAGAAGAAAAAGGTTTAATTTTTTTTTTAAATAAGGATAATGGTCTAATTTTTATCTCTTAACGAGTTTTATGTTATGATTTCTATTTTTCTTACAAAGTACTCTGTATATTTTGAATATTTGATAGGTTATTTTGATCAATGTCTCAATGAGTTATAAAAGTTAAATAACTTCATATTATTTATAAAATAATGTGGCACATTGATTACTTTTGAAAACGATAGTAACTCGCCCTATATTAAATTAAATCAGTTTTAAATCATATTTTCATATTTAAGCTCCCTATTTCTGATCAAGATATGCCAATTATAGGAATATACAATTTTATCCAAAATTGTCAAGATAAATATACGGGCTTCTAAAATAATCTTCTAATTGATAAACCAATACAAGGTGAAATTCAAATAGAGTTGTAAATGATCTATATGTACCAATTAGGTTTCAAACCTAATAGTATTGTACTTAAAATCATATAAACATGATGAGCCTAAATCATTTCATTCTGCAACTAACTTGTTTTACCCGAATCGCTTATAATTAACCTGCCACAAGTTTAACTCAAATTTTATTGTGTATAACCCACCAAAATTTTAACTGAAATCATATAAACCCGGCCACCCATTAGAACCGTTTTTACCTATAAGTCTATTACCCATTATATCCAAACTATTTACAACGAACCCACAACCTGTTTAACCCTAATCACTTTAGTGTGACTCATACTATATGGTACATTAAATTGTCGATAATTCAACACCAATTTGATTTAAAAATAATAAGTTGATAGGTAATGATAAGAATGAAAATGATAATGATACGATGACCCATGAATGACTTAATGTGATAACTCAACGCCCCTTAAACCTAAAATCATTGACACGTTTGGTATTTTGTTAAAAAAAAAAAATACAAATTTTGTTCAATATTTTTTTTCCTTTATCAAATACAATTTTTTTTAATTATATATGTTGTTAAATAGGTATTATAATATAATGCTTTTATAATATAAACTTTTATATTTTTATATAGACAACAATTTGATTGTTGTTATCTTGTAGGGTAACATATGAAATAAATGTTGTCTTATGTAAGAGAAAAGACTACATTTTATAATATTGTTGTCTAACATACTCTAAAGCAACACTTTTGCAACGGTTGCATTGTCATGTACTATAGATTGGTATGATCAAGGTAACAAATAAGAATTGTTGCCATTTCCTACAAAAGACAACATTTGTTATTTTGTTACAATTTTATGTGTTGCCTATTCTTATTTTTTTTGTAGTAATTAGCAACACAAATAGCAGCCTGTGAATCACAATGCATAGAGACCGGTGGTGTTGGTTTCCCCCACAAAGGGATGTCAGCCAATAAGTTTCTCAACCAGTCCGCTTCTTGGGTAACAAGATCCAAAGCTATGAACTCTGCTTCCATTGTAGACCTGGCAATACATGACTGCTTCGTAGACTTCCATGATATAGCACTACCACAAAGAGTAAAAACATACCCACTAGTAGAGTTCACTTCATCACTGGAACTAACCCAATTAGCATCACAATACCCTTCTAGAACCAAAGGACGACCAACAAAGTCTAAACCCCAATTCATGGTTCCACGAAGATATCTCAGAACACGTCTCAAAGCTACCCAATGAGAGTCACTTGGGCAATGAGTGTACCTGCTAAGCCTGCTTACAGCAAATGCAATGTCTGGGCGAGTGCAATTCATCAAGAACATCAAGCTCCCTATTACCTTAGCATACTCTTCTTGAGAAACAGTCTTTCCCTGATTTTTCTCTAGAGCTATACTGCTGTCATAGGGAGTTTTCAAAGACACAACATCAAAGCAATCAAATTTTTTCAATACTTTCTCAACATAATGAGACTGATTCAGAAAATAACCCTTCTTGGTCTTTAAAACCTTAACACCAAGAATCACATCTACTTCTCCCAAATCTTTCATCTCAAACTTAGAAGAAAGCAATTTCTTAGTTTCACTTATAGCACTTAAATCAGCACTAAATAACAACATGTCATCCACATACAGGCAAATCATCACACAATAATTACCAAACATTTTAGAGTAAACGCATGCATCACTACCATTGACAACAAAACCGAAACTAAGAATGGTACTATGAAATTTTTCATACCATTGCTTTGGTGCCTGCTTTAGTCCATACAAGGACTTCTTGAGCCTACATACCTAGTTCTCCTTTCCAGGAACTACGAACCCAGGAGGTTGCTCCATATAAATTTCCTCTTCCAAATCACCATTCAAGAAAGTTGTCTTGACATTCATATGATGCACAAACAAATTAAATGATGATGCTAAGGCAAATAAAGTACGAATAGTAGCAATCTTAGTCACCAGAGAATAAGTGTAGAAATAATCAATGCCGTATTTTTGAGTGAACCCTCTAATCACCAATCTGGCCTTGAACCTTTCTACAGTACCATCTGTCCTCATTTTCTTCTTGAAAATCCACTTGCACCCTATAGGTCTGCTTCCCTTTGGTAAGTCAACAAGTTCCCAAGTCCCATTCTACATGATGGACTCAAGCTCACTATCAACTGCTTCCTTCCAAAGGCTTGCATCATTCGAGTTCATAGCTTTTTCGAACGTTTTGGGATCTTCATCTACAACCTGAAGACAAACCATGACCTCATCTAGACCATCCTCACTTTCCATTTCAGTTAGGAATGCCGTAAGGAAATCAGGGCCAAAAGTTGCTTCTGTTCTCTGTCTTTTACTTCTCCTAGGTTGAGTTAGTTCTTCAGCCCTGGGACAAGTTTCAACCTGCTCTGTAGACAAAGGAATTGAAGAAACATTGTTAGTAGCATCATTTTTCTTCAAAGGAAACACCTGTTCAAAGAACTCTGCATCTCGGGACTCGCTTATGACATTGTCGCCTAGGCTCATGAACCTGTAAGCAGCACTGTTCTCAGCATATTCAATGAACACCGCATCAAACGTTCTCGAACCAATTGTCGACCGTTTGAAGGAAGGATATCCCACCTTTGCTAAACACCCCCACACTTTCAAGCAACTCAGATTTGGGGCGTAACCTTTCCACAACTCGTATGGAGTCTTGTCTAACCTTTTGTGGGTAACTTTGTTTAAAACAAAATTTGCTGATAGTACAGCTTCTCCCCACATGTTGTCTAGCAACCCGGAACTCAAGACATAGCATTCATCATCTCCTTCAGAGTCCTATTTTTCCTCTCTGCGATCCCATTCTCTTGTGTGTGTACAGAGCTGAGACCTAATGAATAATGCCCTCAGTTTCACACACCCCTTTGAGGAAAGTTGAGTCGTACTCTCCTCCTCTGTCAGATCGAACCCTTTTAATTTTTCGATCCAGTTGTTTTTCAACTTCATCCTTAAACACAAGAAACTTGGATTCAGCTTCATCTTTTGACCTCAAAAGATAAACTCTGCAGTATCTAGAGTGATCATCAACAAAAGTAACATAATATCTTTTGCTACCCCTGCTTTCCAAGTTCTTAAAGTCAGCTAAATCAGAGTGAATTAGCTTTAGCAATGCAGTTTCCCTTTTTGTGACAGAATTGTAAGGTTTCTTCATAAACTTAGACTCTACACATACTTCACATTTTTCTAGTCCATCTAATGACATATTTGGGAGCAAATTTAAACGTTTCATACGTTTCAGTTTGGCAGCACCAATATGACTCAATCTAGCATGCCACAAATCAAAGGACTCATCCATATAAGCAAAAGTAGAATTTTTATTAATAGAAGATTCGGTTACAATTTCAAGGACAAAGAGACCCCCACTTAGGTACCCTTTGCCAACATATTCCCCATTGCGGGTTAGTACAAGTTTATTAGCATCAAAGACTAACTTAACTCCTACTTAGTTAAGCAAAGCACCATAAATAAGGTTCCTGCGAAGAGAAAGAACATACAGTACATTGTGTAGGGCCAGAGTCTTGCCTGAAGTCAGCTTAAGTATCACCTTTCCTCTCCCTAGCACCTCAGAGTTGCTAGAGTTCCCCATGTACACTTGTTCACCTTCCTTGTCTTCCTCCATAGTAGCGAATAGATCCTTGTTGGCACAAAAGTGTTTGGAGGCTCCTGTGTCAACAATCCACTCTGAGTTATTTTCTACCAAGTTGACCTCAGATACTACCGCAGAAATAACATCATCATCCTCATCCTCAGCTAGATGAGCTTGATTCTTAAATTTTCCTTTCTTCCCACCATTATTTTCTGATTCATCTTGCCTTTAACCTTGCAGTTCACAGCAAAGTGCCCCAATTTGTCACAGTTCCAACATTTGGTCTTGGACTTGTCAATCTTGCTTCTAGGCTTTAGTTTACCATTGTAGATTCCAGATTTTCCCTTTCCATCACGATTGTTAGGTTTCCTTTCATTGTCAGAATTGAGTTCTACCAGATTTGCTTTCACAGCCAATTCATTTTTCGGCTTGGGGGTAGAATCCTTAAGGCGATTTGCCTCTTCAATTTTCATATGACTCACCAACTCTTCGAGAGTTAGATCTCTTTTCTTATGCTTGAGGTGATTTCTATAATCAGATCAAGATTTAGGTAATTTCTCAATTAACACATTAGCCTGCAGGATCTCACACATCTTCATACCTTGAGCAAGAATTTCAGCAACATAATTTTCATACACGTGGACTTGTTCCATGATAAGTTTCGTATGAACCAACTTAAAATTCAATCCAGTCACATATTTCTTTTTCCCGGCATCATCAACCCCATATTTCTTTTCCAAAGACACCCAAATCTCCTTGGCAGATTTGACTTTAATATACAAATCAAAGATGTTATTTTTCATGTGGTTCAGAAGATGACCCCTAACAAACTTGTTATCACGTTTAAAATTCTTGATTTCAGATTCATTAGAAATAACAGAGGAAGTAGTCTGAATAGGGACAGATTCTTTATTCCCAGCGACAGGGGTACTAGGAATATCAATCATAGCATTGGTCTGAGTGATAAGTTTTGGGGCATCATTAAACAAGACATCAACATTCTTTGTGACCATCTCTTATAATTAATTCCATCAAGAGACTCAACCTTAGACAGATCTAGGTATAAACGAGATTGAGAATTGCTATTCATGATATCAACAGATCTAATAATAAATATTTCGCTTCTAAATTGTAGGAAAAATACCTGTTGAAATCAAGAACAACGACAAGCAATGTGTTACAATCAATCAAGATCCGACCTCCTTCTATTGTTCCGTGGTTTGGAACCCACTGCCTTAGAAG